GTATTCAATTCATTAATGACGCCATGTCATTTGTAGCATAAGGATCACCAATTAACAATTGTAAGTGTGCCGTTTAGTGTTGCATTGGTGTATTCAATTCCTGTCTATGGTCGAGGCACTCTTAATAGCATATCAATCTCCAAAAAAGTAGGAGTAATAGCAGCCAAATGAACCACATAAGCCACTAGGGAGTTTTAACGCTAAGATGGTTAATATTAAAGATCGTCGTAGGCCTGAGCAATCGTCCAAGGGTTGGATATAAGCCTGCTGAATCATTCCCATCAGGGCAAGTACCGCCAATTTCGAACTGTATATGTAGTATGCAAGCCAACAGCTACTTATTCTCCATCCCGTTTCCTTTGAGGAGTGTGCATGAGAGTAGTATTGGATTTAGCATCCATCTATGGGGTAGGCCTCGGCCTGCGAAATTTGTCCCCAGGGCGTGTACACCCCCCTTCCTCCCTCCGAAGTCTGAATTCCTCTAGAGTGAATAACGTAGCAATAACACACACTTCCTTCAATGACTGAGGAGGAAAGAGCGTGTTCATGAGAATGGCGTAAGCCTACACCTCCATCTGGGGGGGGGGGCTAGGCAGCAGACACATAAGCTCATTAATTCTGAGTTTCAAGCCGATAATTCCAATTCGACTGTAGGGAACTTTATCGATAATTTTATTTTCTGGCGAAAGGACTCTATGGCAGTCCCTTTCTCAAACTCTTCTAAAGTTTCCATACAGTTGTCTATGAAAAAACCGTATAAACCGTATATGCAGCCCGTAGCAATACCTTCCCGTTTTGTTGAAATGTGAGCATCGCCCTAAACGTCTTTAAGTGGATTAGACATAGCCACCTTATATCGAAATGTCAATGGAACATCATCTACTGTTTCCCTGCAAGAAAAATAAATAGAACCCATTCATATCTGCAAGCGTACCAGTACGCGTGCACCAACTCGTGCCCTTCTCTCCACCAATGACCCAACGTCATAGCTGGAACGCCTAGCGCGTCAGGCTCAGATAAAAGGATGCTCGGTAAGATGGGCCGAGAAGTTCCTCGATGCGAATGGGACGGGCAAGATTCGAGCAGGCCTCTGCGTCTGTCCAAGGGTTACCTATAGGCCTGCTAATTCAATCACCTCACGCCACGTGCCTTCTATGTCAAACTTCATCCAAGGTGTGGAATGATACAGCTATTTATTTTCTCTCCTGCTTCCATGAAGGAAGAAATTATATTTATATGAGAGTACTATTAGCCTAAGCATCCATCCATGGGTTGGGCCTAGGCCTGCGAAATCAGTCCCCCAACCGCCCCCACCCCACAAAACGTGCCCCAAGGGGATGGACCCCCAAAGTTGGGCATCGAAGTTAGACTCTGGAATCGAAAACCTATCAGCTATTCACGTTCCTTCTGTTTCGTTGAAGGCAAGGGGAGCCTGAGAATGGCTTATGCCTAAGCGTCCGTCTGAGGGTTAAACCTAGGCTTACAAAATGAGACCCCCTGGAATGAGCCCACACGGCACTTACCCCCAAATTTGGAATTTTTCTGGAGTCAGCAATCTAACAGCTATGTGTGTACCAAGTTTCAGCCTCTCATCATGTCTAGAACATGGTTAGAATTAGCGTCAGTCAGTCACCATCGTCTATATACTGTAGATTAGATATTAAGGAATGGCTTCGTATGGAGTTTGTTGTTCGAGTCGTCGGAGGGAAAATTCATCAGCTCGTGCTCGTGGTGCTCCTTTTCCTCCGAGATTTTTTTTTTCTTTCCTGTTGCGGTTCGTCTCCGATTAATTCTTTGTCGCGATTTTCTTCTCCAACATATTTTTCTTCGTGGCCGTGGATATTCGTCGGCAATTTAAAGTTATCCAGCTATTTAACATTTACGCCATTTTCTAAATGTAAAACATATATTTCCTGCGTTTTTGTCGCATTTCATCCATAGGTAATACTCCCTCTGTCCAGAAATGATTGTCCTGTTTCACTTTTTCTTAAAAATTAAGGCTGGCTTGGGGCATTAATAAATTCTGCTTGTGTAACAAAATAGTCTTCGGTGTCCTCTATAGCTCATATTGATATGAGCATTTGGACTCCTTTTAAGGTGCAGTTTTGGGAGCTGAAAAATTCTTATTTTTAAGAGTTTTTGAACCACCCCGATTAGTCCATAATGACATCAATGGAAATTCTCGCTTCGGCACCTTGTGGAGGAGAGTCACTACTGCACATTATATCCCCGTTGCCCGTGCCCTCGATTGATCAACCGCAGCAACCAACAGAAAACCTCATGGAGTCCGAATCCCTGGCGACCAAAAAAAACCTTCCCAATGACCAGCGGCGTGCGATATACGACTTTCTTTTGTCGCGTAGCAACGATGGAAACCTGAAGTATGGGTCGATAAAGGAAGCCTCGATCCGTTTCTCAGTTTCGACGCGTACAATCAGCCGGATTTGGGCACGTGGCTGCTGCTCCCTGGCTTCTGGAGCCGTTGCTGCTGATATTTCGTCGAAAATTGCGGGAAATTCTGGCTGGAAACCAAGACCCTTCGACTTGGACGCGGTAAAAAGGGTTCCGCTTCGAAACCGCAAGAATATCCAATCACTCGTGGCTGCCTTGTAAATTCCGAAGTCTACGGTCAGCGTGCAGATCAAAAAGGGCCTGATCAAGCAACACACGAGCCCTTTAAAACCGTTTCTGACCTCACATCGGAAAGGACAAACTTATGCATTTGGGCCGCCTACCGCTTAATTTGCCGTGCCCTATGGATGTTGTAAAATCTGTTCAAGAGTCCCTTTGAATAAACCCTTAACTCCCTTACAAGATCTTTATTGAGAAACAAATTCATTGGCTTCGCTTCACCGCATGCAAATGCAAGGTGAATACTATTGCCACAATGGAGGGACAAAGGTTACTTATGACATAGGGAAGTGTGTCCCTGTTGAGCCACCAAGAGAGTTCAGTTCTTTTATTGGGCCCATCAACAACTAACTAGAAAATCTATAGTCGCCAAGAGTCGTCAGTCGAAGTGTCTGCCAATCCATCAGGCGCGTTCTTCTTTAGTTAAGAGTCAAAAACCAGAAACAGGACAATCATTTCTGGGCAAATAAAAATGGGAAACAGGACAATCATTTCTGAACAGAGGGAGTAATAAATAAGCGTTCCCTTCGTTAAAGTTACCCGACCAGAAAAAAAAATGGCTCACACCGTCCCGATTCATTTCCCCAATCGTCTCCCAACCAATTCTTCCTCTCCTAGCCGGCAGTATCGCTTCCCACAAGAAATCCACCCACTTCATCGACGACACCCGCAGAGTTTTTTGTTTCACAAGGGGCATTTGGCACGGATCGTCACACGTGAGTAGTGCCAACCAGCTGGCTGCCTTCGTGACATTCTCCAAATCATTCCAGGATCTTTTAATCTTAATCTTGATCTTGATCCACAATCTATGAATGAAGAACTTGTGAAAAAAACACGAAAAATGAACCTATTTCTGTTGTGAACAATGCTGGGCGAAAAAAGATTCCGCCGAGACGACTTTGACGTCAGTGCCAGGCAAAAGTTCTTCCAAAGGGCTCACGCGAAGCCTCGTATCTGAAGAGCACCGCTTTCATCAGCTGTCTGGAGTTTCGTCAGTCGGGAGCGAGAGAACGCATACGATGCATTTCAAACCATGTAACAAGCGGCGTGATGGAAATAAATGTGGACGAACTTGGACTTCTTGATGGGCATTTAAATTTTAAACGCAGGTGCGCGTGGAAAAAGAACACGGCGCGTCCCAGAATGGACTGCACATAGCGGGATTCGCGTTCCGTCGCGTGATGGCAGCACGTGTCCCGCATGGTGAAATATCCTTTCTTTATTCGTGGCAGGGTTTGTCCTCGGCCGGAGCAGAGTATTACTGCAGTCCCCTTGGTAACGAGATCGGAATGGAAAAAATAAATGTTAAGACATTCCGATACGCATCTTAGTACCCTTCCGCCTAGCGTACGATCTAGAAAAGCACAGGCTCGTAGTCGTCAGTCGTCAGGTCGATCGGTTTCTCCCCTCGACTGGAATTTGTTTCTCACCAACGGCACAGGCATAAGCCTCGCGCGTCAGCCGAGCGTAATATTGCGCCCGACACGGTGTTACCACTTGCGCACCAGACATATCCCGTCGATCCGCTGCTCTGACCTGAGTCACCTTAGCCTTGAGTTCGATGCCTACAAGGATGTGTCTTTTTCGGCTACAGGCTAGGTAAAAGAACTCGCGAAAAAGGACCGAGAAACAGGTATCTCTGTGAGCGGTACGCAGCAAAGAGTTAAGTAGACCACAGTCATTCGTTGTGAATGGGTGAATCGGTTTTTTTTTTCAGAAAGGGTCAATTGAGTTTCCTCCTGTCAGGATCAGTTTTCGCTCGATCCGTTTCGGCATGCTCAGCCAATTTCTATCGTGACTTCTCCTAACGGGCCGCTCTGACCTAAGCTTTTCCAACCCTAAGCCTTGAGGCCATGCTCTTCTAAGCCTTAGGTCAGTCCGAAGGACATGGAAGGTTGGATCTGTTGGCTCGTGCATGTTAGTCACTGAGACTCATGGACGCGTTAAGCATCAGAAACGCGTCTACTGTCCCTATCTAACGTAGCGATTAGAACATATACGGCATCGTACATAAAAATGCGACCGTTCGACTGAATCACCACGAATCCTTCATGCGAATCTGACATGTGGGTTGTATCAATGGCGTAGGCGGAAAATCGGCAGGGGGGGGCAAGAGTTTGATGTACAGATGTTCCATCGTGAACTGTAGATCACATTTTGGCAGGCAGTATCTCGCTAAGACTGTCTTTATTGTTCTTTCTGCATCAGATAAAGAACTTGGAAATTTTCTTCGGCTTCTGCTTCTTAGATTTGGAAGAGCTTGCACACCGCAAATCTCCAGATACGGTCCCTTCAAGAATCATAATTTAAAAAAAAACTTTTGTAATTGATGATGCGAAAGAAATACCTCCAAAATTTGCAAAATGAACTCACTCCTGGCGATTGGAATGAATACTGAAACCACCGACGATGTAATAGCCAGGGTCGACGGAATAGTCCAAGGGTCGGTCGAAATCATGCAGGAAAGAAGTGACGTAGCAGTCTGTCCAGAAAACTCCTTCCAAGTAGCAGCATTTGAAGTCGAATCGGCGATCCTCGGCGGTGTTGGAATGCACGCTTGCGACTCCAGCGACGACGCCATTGCCGGGACACAAGTAAGAGATGGGTTCGTCGTATTGGTTGACGTAGCCGGACTGAGAGCACGCCGAGTATCCCGTTTCCACGGGACCGCAATCGAAACTCCAGATCCTGTCCTCGCGGCCATTATGATGTACGCTCTGCTCCAGACAGATGAAGTTGCGTGATGTGAGTGCAGGTACGCGCGTAATTAAGGAATTTGTTGGCATTTTCATTGTCACTGGGAAGCGGATGAGACTTTACCTGCACGCGGATGATGGCTTCGCCGAAGGGGCAAGCAAAATTGAAGGGCTCGTCGTAATCGTTGACCCATTTCTGTTCGGGTTCGGCAGACGCAACGGCTCCCAGAAACAAACACGCGATGACCATTGGCAATGCCATGACGAATTTTTATGCGTCTGTCTGAAAAATAGGTGGAGATGTGTCACCTGGGTTTACAGCTTTAAATGGGGCCCGAGGCTTTCTCTGCCTCAGTTTTCATTTCCACGTGCTCGTCTTGAAAATGCCTTAAGCAACAATTAATAGCCCCCCTCTTCAGAACAATTTCCAGGGCCGACTGAAGGGAAATCGCTAATCGCGACTTCCCTTCATTATTATTGAGCATGTCTTGGCGAAAACCCCAAGTCTCCAGAAGAATGCCTGAGGTCGTCATGCCTCACAAAACCGTGCTGATAAAAACTTCACTACAAACTCAGGAGATCTTCTTTCCCTAAATCGTCTTATTTTTTTTTACCATAATACGATGTACATGTTTTATTTGCTAAAAAAAAATGAACTCGTTACACAGCTGTTTTGTGTCTGGTATTTCTTGGTTACCTTGTAGTTTCCTTCACCAGGTAATGTTGTCCATACTGCAAGTACAGGGTGGTCCATAAGAAAATGTATCTGATTAATGACCAGACTTTTAAAATGCTTTGGCTTTTGGGAAGTCCATTTCAGCACCAATCAAATCCAGACATCAACAGGAACTAAAGAACAGCCAAAGTTCCCTTCCCCATAATAACAAACCTAGGTTAATGAATAAAAAATGTGCGGTCGAAAATCTTTTGGCAAACTAACTCACGGGCCAAAATGCACTATAGGTTCTTAACCTCTTTGTACCAACGGACCCCCCCCCCCTCGGGTTATGAGGAACTTTGCAACACCTGGATTTGCAATTATAAATGATGTTTTTTGGCGGCTACCTTCAATTATATATTTAATTTTCCATGGGCCCCAGGTTAAGAACCCCTACACTATAGCGAAGCGGATTCGCACACTTAAGTTGACCAGTACTCGAATATGCAGCACGTTTTGAGCTTCCCTTTACTGATGATTATGTGCAATGGGGTAGAGCCGTGCTGGCGGGCATAGAACCCCTACACTATAGCGAAGCGGATTCACACACTTAAGTTGACCAGTACTCGAATATGCAGCACGTTTTGAGCTTCCCTTTACTGATGATTATGTGCAATGGGGTAGAGCCGTGCTGGCGGGCATTTATATATGATACAGTGAGGATTACCTTGAGAGTAGGAAGATTTCCTGGAAAATCTCCAGATGTATTATTCTCACGGAATCGAGGCTTGGCTTGTATATATGGTAGATGATAAGAATAAACATAACCTATGAGAATATAATGTTTAGTAATTAACATCTACCATAGGGGCATCTTAGGAAAGCGGCACAATTTGCAGTCAGGTTCTGCAGTTGCCATTGCAACCGGAGTATTGTTGTCCTCGACTCAACTAGAGAAAAACTATGTTACACCATATCCTGGCATTTTTGTAGAATTTGAGCAAAGCAGGATAAAACCACAGAAAGGCCCTTCTATTTCAATATTGCCCAACTGGCCGGCCAGTTTCCGTTCTTGTGTCAGGACAGCAGATGCCACGTGCCTGCTGCCCCCCCCCCCCCCCCCCCCGCCCACACATCAATCACACACACATCAATCACACCTCCTTCTTTTTGCTTGATGGAAGGCTTTGCCCTTCCGCATCTTGAAATCAAATCCATAGAGGGAGTATCGAGTTTGCACTTGTCGAATGTTATTTTTGAGCCAAGTTCTAGGGTTCTCTGTTAAGGCTGTGGTTTTTTTTCCTTTCACCTCCATCCTGTATTGTCGAACCTGTTCATTCTCGAAAAGATTTAATTACTTAATAAAATCTTCCTCTAGGGTTGTGGGGTGCGCCAAAATGACTTCACCCTCTCCTTTTTGCATTATAATTCATTATGGTCCGAGTATGCTGGTTCCTGCCAGCCTCCAATCCTAAATTTAGATCTCCAAATATCAAGAGTTCTGTGCTAGGGAATATAGAACAAAAGGTGGCAATGTCTTCATGAAGGAGGTGAAAAAACTTGGCGGTCCATGACGGAGAATTCCTGGGAGGGTTGTACACTAAACACATAAATAGCTGCAAAGCGTTGTGGTTGAAAATACCCCACATAACCGGTGTAAGGCCAGAAGGTGAGTCTAGCAAATTAAAGGAATTGGCATATACATTCTTGACACCATACAGTAGTCCCAGTGAGGGTCTGCCAGGACCAGTTGCCTTCTTACCTTTCTGCGCCAGTATTTCGTAGCCTGAACAGACAAACTCCTCGTCTACCAGCCATGTCTCCATTTGACCAAAGATGTCATACCCCCTCAGGAAGTCCAGCATCTCGGGGATTCCCATTTTGTAGATCAGACCGTGTATGTTCCACCCCAGGCATCTGAACATTTCAGTGTCCATGGAGTTTGCTGGATGGACTGCCTCTATCTATGTATCACAAGGGGCAGTAATAGCATCTCGGGGATTCCCATTTTGTAGATCAGACCGTGTATGTTCCACCCCAGGCATCTGAACATTTCAGTGTCCATGGAGTTTCCTGGATGGACTGCCTCTATCTATGTATCACAAGGGGCAGTAAATTTCTGAAGCTTCTTGGTAGTCTTGGTGCGGGTTTTACGGGATACAATCACTGTTGCTGAGGGTTCTTCAACCAGGACCTGATCTGCGGGTGCTGAGGGTATGACGCTTTGGTGCTCCGTTGGAGAATTGAGAGTAGGCACTGGTTTCTTCCTGAGTGGTTCCGATTATGTTGCTCACTGTGACAGACTTCCTCCCAGTGAGAGGTACTTGGATGACTAGAGGGTGGCCATCGAGCGAAATGGGGGCACTTTGGCTAATGTCGAATTGATAAAAGCACCCCATCCACCACTAGCTTATCCTTACGCAGAAAGGCAGAACTCCCCGCTTCAAAAGCACTCTTTAGATATGGAATGAGTTTTTGCCTGGCCTGGCGAACAGCCGGTGGAAGAACCTCTCGATTCATGGCGCTGAACCTTGCGTGAACCTTGAGCAACTTCAGCGCATTTATTCTTAATTTCTGCAGGAACCAATTTTTTTCAAGGTCATGCGAATTTCCCTTCGGGATGCAGGTGGAAAATTTTTAAGTTACGGTTTTGCAGGCAGTGTCACCAACTTCGTCACAGAGTACGATAAATTTATTTCAGGAGCGACCCGAGGCAACAAAGGATGATCTCGTACGTCAGCTGGATATCCGCCTGAGATTATCCGAAGGAAATCCTCACGCAACGCGTGATTCCCATTCGTCGGATGAACTCCGGAAAAATTTCGTCGGAAGTAAAAGTCGGTGAATATCCCACATGCTGTAATAGATAATAAAATATAATTACTGATAATAAAATAGTTCACACGATTTTTTTATTATTATTTATTTATCTTATATATTTCCTCGAATTTTTATTGCGTATATTCCCAGGAAATTTCGCAACGTTTTCCCTACACCTGTGTTTTTTCCCGCTCTCATCGCAAGTCCGCCGGACGAAATTGAGGGAAAAAAAAACGGGATTTTCTTCATTCGGTTTTGGATCCGCTGCCCCGATGGTTGCAATCTGATGACTTAGGAGCGGATTAAAGGATTAATGGACTTGCTGAGTAATGCCGGACCTACGTCGTGTTCAAGTTTATATTTTTTTACTATAAATTACCATATTTCCCCCATAGGGGATGAACATGTCCCTTGTTGGAAATTTTGCGAATGATTCATCAATCTGTAATTACAATATGTAATATTCGGCATACGGACGAAAGGAAAATTCGGCCTTAAAGCGCCGCTAAATCCAAAATTCTTCTCTTTTCGTCGGAATTCCCCCAAATTCTTCAGGCTTGACGTATGCAGCAAACCTGCTCCATAATTAATTTTTTTAAATTACACGTTGAATTAGGGTAGTTGCGAGTCGTAATTGACATTTCTTGAGAGAATTACGAGCCGCCAATCGTTTTGCCAAGTCTCGACTATGTTGCTTTATTACGAGAGTCTAATTTAATTAATTAATTAATTTTTCGCACGGCAAGACAACCTGATGAAAGAGTAAATGCCGGCTCTCATCACCTTCTTAAGACATTTTACCCCGCCGACCTCAGCCTCAGTTACCTTAGTCTAAAGGCCATTCGACCATATGCAAAAGGACTCAAAAACGGATTTTGAAATCGTGAAAGTCCCCTTGGTAACGTTAGAACGGGAAAAAAAAAGTTAATCCAACCCCAACGGAAGACATTCTGGTACGTTTCTTAAAACCCTAGAAAAGCAAAGGCTCGTAGTCCTCAGGCGCCAGGTCGATCAGTTTCTCCCTCAACTGGAACTTTTTTCCCACCAACAGCCCCGGTATGACCCGTGGGCCCGAAGCGGGGCGACCAGGGACCACCTTCACGGGGACCGTCGTCGAGGCTGAAGGAGCCAGATCGAAAGCTCGCAAGCCACTCGGAGACTCTTGGATGGAGCTTTAGAGCCGTGCTGGCGGGCATTTATATATGATACAGTGAGGATTACCTTGAGAGTAGGAAGATTTCCTGGAAAATCTCCAGATGTATTATTCTCACGGAATCGAGGCTTGGCTTGTATATATGGTAGGTGATAAGAATAAACATAACCTATGAGAATATAATCTAGAATCTAGGGAATCTAGAACAAAAGGTGGCAATGTCTTCATGAAGGAGGTCAAAAAACTTGGCGGTCCATGACGCGGAATTCCTGGGAGGGTTGTACACTAAACACATAAATAGCTGCAAAGCGTTGTGGTTGAAAATACCCCACATAACCGGTGTAAGGCCAGAAGGTGAGTCTAGCATATTAAAGGAATTGGCATATACATTCTTGACACCATACGGTAGTCTCAGTGAGGGTCTGTCAGGACCAGTTGCCTTCTTACCTTTCTGCGCCA